CCTAATTTGAGGGCCTTATATTAAGCTTGGTTGTTTGGATGTTGTAAAGGGGAGGGAGACATCGTACTTGAGTGAAGTACCATGGGGGCTGATTAACACTAGTCCTACGTCGTTGTCCTTGCTGGTGGAGGATCCATCTACGTATAGTCTCCAACATGGTACAATATATGGTAGCAAGGGCATAGAGGGCTTTTGTAGAGTATGCACAAAGGATTCGAGCGCCTCTAGTCTTGGAGTGTGGTCTCTCGAGGCCTGTGGAGCTATCTCCGAGACGTTAGGCTTTCTCGGGATAGTGTCTGGGCTTGCCTCATGGTGGGTGGAGGCATTATGCACAAAGCAGGTGAGCGCAATCGATTGATAATAAACCACAAATAAATCTCTGAGTATAGGGCCAAAGCTCTATTTGCCTCAATAAATTTATAATCGCAATTTTGATCTCCAAATAATAAAAATAATCTCCTCATTATACAAAGTTAAAAATTATATCAAGATTCATCCGTCTTCGATTCCTCAAATATCAACTCTGGTCTTTCTCTCCGAGATAATCCTGAAAAAATACTAAACGTGGGGAAGTATACATATGACAGAAAACAATATGCTCAACGAGAAATGAATATGAATGATCAAATACCAAATAATTCAATCGATAAACAATCATAGATAAAAGAATCAAGAATCCAATTCGATAAGTCACATAGCTCAGTATCTATCAATCCTAGCCTCATACTCGGGTCCTCTTGGTGACATGACAAGTGACACCTGGACATTTAAAATCCATACTCATATCGAACCATTACGTCCCTCAGGGCTGTAATCACAATCGCACCCTATAGGGTCATAATCATATTTCACCAATTATGCCCCCAAGTACACTTCGTACATGTACTAATCAATCCCAAAGTATTTAGCCCAACGTACACNACAAGGCCATAATCATATTTCACCAATTATGCCCCTAAGTACACTTCGTACATGTACTAATCAATCCCAAAGTATTTAGCCCAACGTACACGTGCAGGTCAACCGATAACATTGACAAAATTTCATATAAATCAGAATAATCAATAGGAATACAAAATTTCAGATAATGAAAGGACACTCTTTGCAAAGAGATTTAAAAGACAGAGACATATTGTATACTACTCCATACCTCAAATCTATCAATGACTTCAATTGATGCGAAATTTGAAATACCCCGAATCAAATAGTCAAATTTGATAGCAATCTAAAATAAAATCACTTCTCAATTTTTGACCCCAAGACCTCATAAAAAAATTTTCTTCTATTCCTTCTATCTCTCTCTCATTCTTCTCTTCCCTTCCCCACCATCTCTCTCTCTCTTTTTTTTTTTCTGTGTTGTGCCGTTCAAATAGCTTGGACTTGGCTATTTATAGCCATTTCTTACTTGGTCCCCAGGCATCACATGGACACTTATCCATATTACTTACTTTTTTTTTCTTTCTTTTTGCACGTTTTTCATTTGCTTATATATATATATATATATATACATACACATATATTCATTATATTTATTATGAAACTTAACCTAAATTATAGTCATTTGACTCATTTTCACGCGAAGAGTCTATATTTGAGATCCATTTGTTCCTTAATAAAAAAATTTATTATTTATTATTATTATTATTATAATATAAAATCATAATTGACGACTTAATTAGGGTGTCAATAATTAATTTATATAGGGGTCGTCACAGCGCGTGATACTCCTTCTCGGGATTCTTGTGGGGGTGTAGACTCCCGAAACTCCCGTGGCAATGTAGATTCCTATGACAATGTAGACTCCTGGAACTCTCATGGTGTAGACTCTTGAGACTTCTGTGGTGGTGTAGACTCCCGTGACTCCTGTGGCGGTGTAGACTCCCGGGACTTACGTGGTGGTGTAGACTCTCGGGACTCCTATGGCGGTGTAGACTCCCAGAACTCCTGTAGACTCTCATGGCAATGTAGACTCTCGTGGCAGTGTAGACTCCTTTGGCGGTGTAGACTCTCGGGCGAGGGCTGCCTTGGCGTTGCCCAGAGGTGTTTTTGGCGCGGGGTCCCATGGTGGGGTGCAGCTTGACACCCAGAATGGAGAGGTTGCAATGCTTCTTTTGTCAGAGGGAGTGGTGCTCCTCCTATAGGTTAAGGAGCGTTGTTCCCGGGGCAAGCATCAACTGGATAATTTATTGATTCTGGTTTACCAGCAGCTGCATGCTCTGTAAAAATTGTTGCTCAACCACGGGAGTTGCCGCAATGGATGGTTCTACGGGTGCGAGTGGAGGTGGAGCCTCCTCCTAGCGAGCCAGGTTGTTGTCCCTCGGTTGTTGACTCATCGACCTAGTCGTGATCGCCATGTATTTGAAAGAGAGTAGTAAGGTAGTAGAAAACTTAATCGCTTCCTACAGACGACGCTAAATTGATGATGCACAAAAATAGTCTTATGCAATATCAACAGTCTAGTGTGTGTAATTAGTGGACAATTAATAGAGCAATCAATTATAATAATGTAAATATCGGGTTAACACGCAAATATATAGTGGTTTGATTCGGGTAAGCTACTCCACTCTGGGAAACAACAACAGTGACCGGAGGACGTTTTATTGATTAAGTAAGGTGAACAAGAGAGAGATCAATGGTTAGCCCTGGGAGGGATACAATAGTTAGGAGTAGGAGTGTTCAAATTTTCGATTGGCCGCAATTTCCTACCTTACCTGACCCTACTGAACGGCTAGCTGCAAAAATTGGGTAGGAATACGAAAATTTTTTGATCTTCTAATTAAATCGGGTAAGAATGCAGAATACCCATCAATTTTCGCATTCTTACCCTACCCTACCCGCAAAAAAATATATTTAACTTTTTTATATTTTTTTAGTAATTGTACTAGTATTTGTGTGATATAATTTATATTATAATATTGTTATTGTTGTAGATGTTTGAGTTGTTAAAACATAGACTTATTTTTTGTATAAGTTACATAATTTGTGGTGAATTGGTAATCTATTAGAACAATTATGATTTTAATGTGTTTCATATGGTTTAAACTTAAAATAATTGTTATTGTATTTGTATAACAATTATGATGGATTGATATTCATGCTTTTTTATATTTTATTGTAATTGTTGTTGTAGTTGTTTTAGATTTTAGTATTATTGATTTATTGTGTTGTTAAATTGGTACATGTTATTTAATTGAATTGTTAAAATGATCCAAAAATTAATAGCTACAAAAATGTTTATCTGACTTTCTACAATATTAATCGGGTAGGAATATCACATCTGATCGGGTAAGGTAGGCCAAAAAAAAATTCTTCTGCTCAGTATCGGGTAAGAAGACGTAAGACTATATTTTCTACCCGTAGGGTAGAGTGAACACCCCTAGTTAGGAGAGAGAAAAATCATGTGTGGAGTGTGTAGAGATGTGTCATATCATGTAGAGAGACTTTACAATTTATAGGCATAGACCCTTAATTGANTCCTACCCGTAGGGTAGGGTGAACACCCCTAGTTAGGAGAGAGAAAAATCATGTGTGGAGTGTGTAGAGATGTGTCATATCATGTAGAGAGATTTTACAATTTATAGGCATAGACCCTTAATTGAGTTGATGACGTGAGAGTAAATATACTAGATATTCAGAGTAAATGTACTAGATATTCAGAGAGNTTCTACCCGTAGGGTAGAGTGAACACCCCTAGTTAGGAGAGAGAAAAATCATGTGTGGAGTGTGTAGAGATGTGTCATATCATGTAGAGAGACTTTACAATTTATAGGCATAGACCCTTAATTGAGTTGATGACGTGAGAGTAAATATACTAGATATTCAGAGTAAATGTACTAGATATTCAGAGAGTTATAAAATATGAGTACAATTAAAGATTGTCTTAATTTTTGAGAGTGAGTATTCCGATAATTGCTCCTCATGTGCTCTAATCCTTCTGAATTCCTTAAACTCTGGATTGAGCCGAATCCTTGAATTGGGCTTGACCCGCCTTGTAGTTAATTTGAGCTTAGCTCATTAATTGGGCTCGTCNATAAAATATGAGTACAATTAAAGGTTGTCTTAATTTTTGAGAGTGAGTATTCCGATAATTGCTCCTCATGTGCTCTAATCCTTCTGGATTCCTTAAACTCTGGATTGAGCCGAATCCTTGAATTGGGCTTGACCCGCCTTGTAGTTAATTTGAGCTTAGCTCATTAATTGGGCTTGACCCAGTTAAATTTGGGCTTGTCATTTCTCATGACTTCTGACTACTTTCAATGGCATAAATATATATTTAGTTAGATTATTAATGATTAGTTGATTAAATTAAATTGAAAGTTAACTTAAATTTATTAAAATTATTATGGACAAGTCAAGATCTGCCNTCGTCATTTCTCATGACTTCTGACTACTCTCAATGGCATAAATATATATTTAGTTAGATTATTAATGATTAGTCGATTAAATTAAATTGAAAGTTAACTTAAATTTATTAAAATTATTATGGACAAGTCAAGATCTGCCCTAGATCCTCTCCGTTCAGAAACCTAATTTTGATGGAATTCGGAAGGTACCCAACTTCAATTTCCAAAGATAAACAAGTTTTTTTAATAAAAAATAGTTATTGATGTTTATAAAAAAAATTAATAACTTGGGTGGATAGAGGAAAAACTCAAATTTTAAGGATGTTATTGTAATTTAATCCAAAAAAGAACATGCAAACCTAACTGGAAAAACACCACACGCTAACGACCTAACGCCAAACTTCCCTCTTCTGTCCATCGACTTGTATATAAACCGAAAACACCTGACCCATGAAAAAGCATCCAGAGGCATCAAACAAATAATATACCAGAGAGCAATCAATGGCTTCTCTCCCCACCCTAACGGTTCTTTCTCTGCAATTTCTGATTCTGTTAATCGGATCGTATGGTACGATTGAGTCCATTGGTGGTGGGGTTGTAGAAGAGGCACGAAGNCGTCCGGAGGCATCAAACAAATAATATACCAGAGAGCAATCAATGGCTTCTCTCCCCACCCTAACGATTCTTTCTCTGCAATTTCTGATTCTGTTAATCGGATCGTATGGTACGATTGAGTCCATTGGTGGTGGGGTTGTAGAAGAGGCACGAAGAGGGGGACAACAGAGAGAGTTCGATTACTTCCAGCTCGCTCTCCAATGGCCCGGCACTTACTGCCGTAGAACTCGCAGTTGTTGCTCCTCCAATGCTTGTTGCCGAGGGTATCTCTATTACTCTTCCTCTTTTTCTCTATTGCCGTTATTATNAGCAGAGAGAGTTCGATTACTTCCAGCTCGCTCTCCAATGGCCCGGCACTTACTGCGGTAGAACTCGCAGTTGTTGCTCCTCCAATGCTTGTTGCCGAGGGTATCTCTATTACTCTTCCTCTTTTTCTCTATTGCCGTTATTATATAGACGTCCATGATCATCTATATATGCAGTTTTAGGTTTAGTTTTGCGGTTTATTGATTTATAGTTCATATATGTATATATTGTTAGCTGTTAGGGTATATGTGGTGCTAATCTTTTCTATATTTAAACGTACTGTGTAGAGCGATCATATGGCTTCTTTTTTTGTGAATGTATTTTCTCAGATGTTTTATGCTGATTAGGGAGGGTAATTAGTCACAAATCCAAGCTTAATATCAATAATGAGGGGGGGGGGGGGGAGGGAGGAGAGAAACCTAATTCATCTTGGAAGAGTCGTTGGAAAATCAATTGGGGGGGTGACCATTAATCCTTTTGTTGTTCGTAATTGTTAAGGCTAGAGAAGTAAATTCTACATTTTTAGAAATTGTGCCGTCTGAGTATAATCACAATCATAATTTAGCCAGATCATATTATTAGGAACTAACCAGATTCAGTTGATGTTTGTAAAAAATGCATCATCAATACGATAAAATGGCCAAAACTTTGCTCAACTTAAAAATTCATTTGGCAAGTTAGGGATTTAATTACAGAATCCTATATGTTGTGTTTGAATATTTGGCTTTGTATGTTGTGTTTGGCTCCTTAGAAGTTTGTTTGCTTTAGTAATGTGCTATTGGTGCTAACTTGTTTGTTGTCTTGTTCCAATCAATGCGTGTGGTGCTATGTTGAGTTGTTTTACTCTACTACTCACTTTCACATCACCGATGTAGACCAAGGGGTGTTGTTTCGGCCCAAGTTGCTGGTGCCTGGCTCTGTCATAGCCAATAGGGAATATTTCTTTACTGTCTGTAATTTCATCCCAAAAGGTATTGCAGATAATGGTGCTTGATGAAGCTTTAGAAAAATAACAAAAATATGGCCCACCTGGGAGGAGCTCAACTCGTCTGTTTTCCCTTTGATTGCAACATTAACATGGGGCTGTAAATTGAGCACTCAAGTATTCGTGTCACATAAATTAGCAAAGAAACTGGTCAATTGAGAAGTATTTGAGTGAAGAGGGGGTGAGCAGGATTTTATGTTCATAATTTTCCAAGGCCCTTTCTTTAATTTTGTTACTTGTTCTCCTTTCATTTATCTGTGCCTTTTATGGGTATTTATGTGGTGCTTTTCAACATCCATTTAGTGATTTTTTTCCAGATCAGAACCATATATACAGAGATGTGATGTTGTTTAATGTTGTATATGGCTTCTTTCGTATTTTGTTCACCAAGTGAAGAGAAACTTACTGTATTCTTTGTGATTTTACCCAGCTCGAATGCTCCAACTGAATTCACAATTCGTAAGTCCAACTCACCACATTTTTTTTCAGAGGGGTGTCTATTTTCTGGAATGTAAAAGGTTGCTTGCTTTTTCCCCTTTTTGACTGCTGCTTTTGGTGATAGAAATTTCGTGTATATAAAGGATGCTGAAAGAAATTCTTGGCATCCTGCTCATATTGTTTTTTACAGAGTTAAATAATGTCACTTTGCTGTGCAGATGGACTATGGCCTGACTACAATGATGGAACTTGGCCCTCATGTTGCACTGGTTCCAATTTTGACCCAAAGGAGGTATTTGTATGTTGCTATTGTACATTGCACTACCTCATTTGTGGGGCATGCAAGTTCTCGCTTGTGGGGAGACTTGCAAAATGGAACTCAAAATATTAGACAACATCTGAAAAATGATTCTTTTCTATGTCCAAGTGCATTTGTAGAAGCTTGAATTTGTACACATCCATAAACTTTGGTGGACAAATGTCATCTTAGCTATGATTCCCAGTGGGTATAACAGACACAATATAGGAAGTTTGTGAAAATAAAGGACGAGCTGGATATTGAGTCTGTATAGGTATACATGTTAATTCCAACTCAGTCTGGTTGAATGATATATAACCCTTACAGAGAATGATTCTGTTTGGTGACTTTGGCTGTCAAAGGTATTTTTTCTCCAGCAAGCATTGATCTTTTACTCTAATGGTATACTCGTTGTACACATCTTTTTTCCAACTCCTTTGCATTATGGTGACAATGGTGAGTTGGAATCCAGAAATAACACTTTGTAACATAGATTATGTGATGCTGTAGTTGTTACATTCTACGAAATACGAATAGTTCTATTTCCATGATGTCAGCTCTGAAAATTCATAGCTGTGTTAAGAGGTAGGCCTCTGGTTACTATGCATTTCTTTTTCTTTGGTCCAATGATATTTTTTATCTTATGAAGGTTTTGNCTGTAAACTGAGCACTCAAGTATTCGTGTCACATAAATTAGCAAAGAAACTGGTCAATTGAGAAGTATTTGAGTGAAGAGGGGGGGAGCAGGATTTTATGTTCATAATTTTCCAAGGCCCTTTCTTTCATTTTGTTACTTGTTCTCCTTTCATTTATCTGTGCCTTCTTATGGGTGTTTATGTGGTGCTTTTCAACATCCATTTAGTGATTTTTTTCCGGATCAGAACCATATATACAGAGATGTGATGTTGTTTAATGTTGTATATGGCTTCTTTCGTATTTTGTTCACCAAGTGAAGAGAAACTTACTGTATTCTTTGTGATTTTACCCAGCTCGAATGCTCCAACTGAATTCACAATTCGTAAGTCCAACTCACCACATTTTTTTTCAGAGGGGTGTCTATTTTCTGGAATGTAAAAGGTTGCTTGCTTTTTCCCCTTTTTGACTGCTGCTTTTGGTGATAGAAATTTCGTGTATATAAAGGATGCTGAAAGAAATTCTTGGCATCCTGCTCATATTGTTTTTTACAGAGTTAAATAATGTCACTTTGCTGTGCAGATGGACTATGGCCTGACTACAATGATGGAACTTGGCCCTCATGTTGCACTGGTTCCAATTTTGACCCAAAGGAGGTATTTGAATGTTGCTATTGTACATTGCACTACCTCATTTGTGGGGCATGCAAGTTCTCGCTTGTGGGGAGACTTGCAAAATGGAACTCAAAATATTAGACAACATCTGAAAAATGATTCTTTTCTATGTCCAAGTGCATTTGTAGAAGCTTGAATTTGTACACATCCATAAACTTTGGTGGACAAATGTCATCTTAGCTATGATTCCCAGTGGGTATAACAGACACAATATAGGAAGTTTGTGAAAATAAAGGACGAGCTGGATATTGAGTCTGTATAGGTATACATGTTAATTCCAACTCAGTCTGGTTGAATGATATATAACCCTTACAGAGAATGATTCTGTTTGGTGACTTTGGCTGTCAAAGGTATTTTTTCTCCAGCAAGCATTGATCTTTTACTCTAATGGTATACTCGTTGTACACATCTTTTTTCCAACTCCTTTGCATTATGGTGACAATGGTGAGTTGGAATCCAGAAATAACACTTTGTAACATAGATTATGTGATGCTGTAGTTGTTACATTCTACGAAATACGAATAGTTCTATTTCCATGATGTCAGCTCTGAAAATTCATAGCTGTGTTAAGAGGTAGGCCTCTGGTTACTATGCATTTCTTTTTCTTTGGTCCAATGATATTTTTTATCTTATGAAGGTTTTGCCTTTTTGAAGTCAAGGGTTCAAGTCCCCCTCCCAAAAAAGTAAAAAAAAACAAAAAACATACAGTGTCAGGTCAGGAGTTGCTAAATGTGTAGAGTGGAAAATTTTCCTTTTAGTAATCACTATTTTCCTCGTGATCAACAATTGTGTTACTCACAGACATTCATGATGCCAACTACCTGAAGAATGGTGTTGAAGCATCATGCCTTCTTAGCACTCCCATGTTTCAATTCAATGTTGTTTCCTATAGGTTCAGGCAACTATAGACTCTTGTGCACCTACCAAAAGGAAAAAAGTGATTTTACAGCAATTTCACAAGTTTTTTTGAATTTTGGAGAATTAATGATAAATGATAATCAATCAAGAGGCTTATATTCGTTATCAAGACTACTGTTCTCCCCACACAGCCTAAACTTCCTCTTTGCTTTTTAACATTTGACCAAGCTATTTATTCTAAATTTTTAATTTTTTGTTTTATTTTTGTTCAATTTAGCTTTTTATGATATATCTGTTAGGTTACTTTGGAAGTGGAATTACTCTAAGTATTGTTTATTTAATTTGTAGATCTCGACGTTGCTTGATGCCTTAGAGAAATATTGGCCCTCTCTAAGTTGTGGTTCGTCCTCAACTTGCCATGGCGGAAAAGGATTGTTTTGGGCTCATGAGGTGGTTCTCAACTTTGGGCTTGCTTTCTAATTCATGTGATCCATTGTATGAAACTAACTATTCCTCCTTGTGTTTCTCATGGCTGAATTGGGAGACGACCATTGGCAGTGGGGTAATCATCTTCATCTTTGTAATTACCCATTGTAATGAACAAAGCTTATTGTCAAGTAAAAGAAAAGTTTATTTGCTGTTTTGTCTTGGATACAAAATCTGGAGGGAAGTGATGCATGCCCATAAACTTTAAAAAAGATTAGACACATTTGCTATATCACTTAATGTGTGGCATTGAAAGCCATCCAGATTCTGGTGTCCCACTTCCCTGAGGGTTATAGTACTGTCTCCATCTTAACACTCTTTTGCTTCTCTTGGAAATAAAGAAAAAGGGAAAAACTTGACTTCACTCAACTCAACTCATCAACAAAGTCTTATCCCAATTATTTTGGATAGTCTACATGAATCATGTTCCTCCATTGTGTCTGTCTGATCAAGGATGATAATTGGTAATTTTACCAGGCAGTCAATTGCATTAAATTCACACATATTGAGTGTGTTAAGTTTAGAGAATAAACTCAATATTAGAGAAAGACGGAGAGTGGTTAAAACCCAACCTATCTCACAAAATCACTTGTATTTATAGTTAACTCATAATATAAGAATTACACATACATCCTCTTGTATTTACACATAGTACCCTAACACTATTAACAATCTACACACAATACCCCAATACTGTTAACACTCCCCCTCAAGCTGGATTATATATATCATAAAATCCAAGTTTGAACAAATTGCAGACGTGTATGACTCAATGCTTTAATAAACATGTCTGCAAGCTGTTCTTCAGATTTTACAAATGGAGTTATAATCTCTCCAGCTACTATTTTGTTTCGGATAAAGTGACAATCAATCTCAATATGTTTAGTTCTCTCGTGAAACACTGGATTGATAGCAATATGGGTAGCTGCCTGATTGTCACAAAATAACTGTGAAGGTAGTTGAACTAGAAACCCAATTTCCTGGAGGAAGTGTAGTAGCCAAGTCAACTCACTCGTATGCGTCAATGCCTTATACTTAGCCTTAGCACTAGATCTTGTTACCATTGGTTGTTGTTTCTTACTTTTCCATGAGACAACATTACCTCCTAAGAAAGTACAATAACCAGTGGTTGATCTCCGATCCGAAAGAGAGTCAGCTCAATCAGCATCTGAGAAACCTTCCACTCTAAGATGTCCATTAGCTCGATATAACAATCTAAGGCCAGGAGCACGTTTGAGATATCGTAGAATATGAGTAACTGCCTCCCAATGTGGTACTCTAGGACACCTCATAAACTGACTTACTATACTGACTGCATGAGAAATATCTGGTTGAGTAATAGTGAGGTAATTGAGCTTCCTAACCAATCTGCGATACTGACCCAGATTCTCAAACAGTGCACCATCATCCATCAACAGTTTCTGATTCGAATCCATAGGAACATCAATCGGTCTGCCTCCCAGCAAACCTGCTTTCTCTAGTATGTCAAGTATATATTTTCTCTGAGATAAATAAATACCCTGTTTAGATCGAGCCACCTCAATACCAAAAAATACCTGAGTTTTTCCAAGTCCTTCGTATGAAATCGATCTTGCAGGAAGGTTTTTAACTTGACAATCCTCTTTGAATCATTTCTAGTAATCACAATATCATCTACATAGACCACCAATAGAACATATCCAACATCCGTCTGTCTATGAAACACAGAATGGTCTGTCTGACATCGAAGAAGACCAAATTCTAAAATTGCATCTGAAAACTTACCAAAGCATGTCTTCGGTGACTGCTTCAAACCATATAAAGATTTCTTTAACTGACATACACTCCTGTACCCCCCCTGAGCAGTAAATCCATGTGGCTGCTCCATATATACCTCTTCAACCAAGTCACCATGTAGAAAGACATTCTTGACATCCAACTGAAACAAAAGTCGATCAAGATTAGAAACCAAAGAAATCAAGATTCGAACAGAGGAAATTTTGGCAACAGGAGAGAAAGTCTCCTCATAATCAACTCCATAAGTCTGAGTAAATCCCTTTGCAACAAGCCGAGTTTTGAGACGCTCCACAGAATCATCCGAATGAAATTTAACAGTATACATCCAACGATAACCAACAGTTCATTTACCAGGGTAAAGGAACAAGATCCCAAGTCCTATTATGATGTAAGACATCCATCTCCTCCTNGAAAAAGTATCATCATAATCCACACCATAGGTCTGAGTAAAGCCCTTTGCAACAAGCCGGACTTTGAGACACTCCACAGAACCATTCGAATGAAATTTAACAGTACACACCCAATGATAACCAACAGTTCGTTTACCGAGAGGTAAAAGAACGAGATCCTAAGTCCCATTATGATGTAATGCATCCATCTCCTCCTTCATAGCTTTCCTCTAACCCGGATCAAATAATGCATCATATAAGTGCTTAAGAATAGATACAGTAGATAATTGTGAGGTAAAACAAGAGAAGACAGGAAACAATGCATCATATGAAACAAAATGAAAAATGGGATANAATTGTGAGGTAAAACAAGAGAAGACAGGAAACAATGCATCATATGAAACAAAATGAAAAATGGGATAATTAGTAACACACGAACAAGTACCTTTTCGAAGAACACTAGGTAAAGAGTCTAAATTACCTGATGGACTTGGATCAAAAGACGGCAAGGAAGATGGTACGGGCACCTCAATCGATGGGCGAGGGCGACGAGAGTATACACGAAGAGGTAAAGTAGATGATAACACCGTAGGCAGTGGAATATCTGAAGAAGAGGAAAGAGATGGGGGTACAGGAGACGACCCAAAGTCCAGATCTAAAGGCTGAGCAGGTGCTGAAAAATATGGAACAGATTCCCTAAACGTACCATCAGCACTAGTAAAGTATCGTTGCAGAGAAGGACTATAGCAACAATACCGTTTTTGTGTGCCGGAGTAGCCAAGGAATACACATTTTGTAGCTCGAGGGTCAAGTTTATCAAACTCAAGACCCAAATTGTGAACATAACATACACATCCAAAACCTTAGGAGTTAGAAAAAATAAGGGCTTACCAGAAAAAAAGACAAAATATGAATTTTCCCCATTTAACACAGAGGATGACATACGATTAATAAGATGACAAGCAGTAAGAACAACACCACTCCAAAAATATCGAAAAATGTTCATCTGGAACAACAGAGCACGGGTGACTTCCAAAAAATGACAGTTTTTGCATTCAGCAACACCATTCTATGGAGAGGTGTAAGCATAAAAAGTCTGATAAATAATGTCAGTTTTAGGAAGATGAGATGAAAAAAGATCAAATTCATATTCCCGAGCATTATCAAAACGTAAAATACGTATATGACAATCATACTGAGTTTTTATTTCCTTGCGAAAGGTCTCAAATATAGAAAATAATTCAGACCGAGCTTTCATCAAAAACAACCAAGTCACACGAGAATAGTCATCCACAAATGACACAAAATAAGGATATTTATTAGATGAAATATTCTTTATTAGACCCCATAAATCAGAATGTACCAACTCAAATGGACTAGACACACGATTATTGACTCTAGACTAAAATGACACACGATGATGCTTACTAAGTTGACAAGCTTACAAAACAAAGACGACACATAACTAAGACAAGGAGCTTGGCGCTTCAGATTCTGGAGAAAGGGATGTCCAAGGCGACAATGTCATTGAAAATGAGACAACGAGGTCTATAGAGCTTGAGTGGGTGAATCAAAATCAAAGTAATATAGGCCACCAGCTTCATGCCCCGTACCAATCTTCCTCTTCGTCTTGAAATCCTGAAAGACACAATAAGAAGGATAAAAGGTTACAAAATAATTGAGATAACAAGTAATTTTACTAATGAAAAGTAAACTAAAAGGAAACTGAGAAACAAATAACACGGAAGATAAAGACATATTAGGACTCAAGTGAGTATTCCCAAAACCTAAAACTTTAGAACACGTACCATTAGCAAGAGTAACACTATGTGTGGAAGTAACAGACTGATAAGTAGAAAAGACATCTGACACACCAGTCATGTAGTCAGAAACGCCAAAATCTATGATCCAGGGACTGTGAGTGGAGGACAATAAACAAGTGAAAACAGTACCTGACTGGGCAAAAGTAATAATAGAGGGTGATGGAACAGCTTGTTGCTGGGACAGGAACTCAACATACTCCTCTCGTGTAAGAGTAACTGACCCAGTGTCCGGTGGAGCTGACCGAGGTATGGAAGCAACAACAGAGGTGTCATCCTGATTCGTAGCACTAGAAGATTTTTCATGTAAATTCCAACAGAAATCAACAGTTTGCCCTCCATGGCCACAATGAGTATAGGAACGAGGTCCACTACGGCCCCCACGATCACCCGTACAACCTCCTATACGACCTCCTCGATTACCACAACCACCTCGATGACCATCACTATGGTTACTAGGAACCACAAGAGCTGAGCGATCAGTGTAGACACCATGATCAACTCCTGTAGTAGACAAAGTAGCACACTGTACACAAGAGAAAATCTTAAGCAATGAAAGAAGACTAGAACTACCCAAAATCTGAGAACTAATAGCCTCATATTCAGGTTTCAATCCTACCAAAAACCTAACAACATTCATGTCCTCATGTTGCTTATGTCAAACTGCTACATCAATAATAAATGGATGGTAGGTCTTCATCTTCTCACAAACTCCCCGAACGTGAGAATAATAATCCTCAATGCTCAAATTACTCTGTTCTAGCCGGAAGTACTCCTTGCACACCTCATAAGCTTGGGTAAAATCATCCGTACCAGNCCCCGAACGTGAGAATAATAATCCTCAATGCTCAAATTACTCTGTTCTAGCCGGAAGAACTCCTTGCACACCTCATAAGCTTGGGTAAAATCATCCGTACCAGAATACATAGTGGCCAAGTGATCCCATATCTCCTTGGCAGTGTCAAAGTAGAGCAGAGTAGAACTAATATTAGGTTCAATGTTGTTCAATAGTAAAGAAATAATTTGAGCGTCCTCTTGTTCCCACTGATCATACCCAGGTGTATCTTCCTTAGGCATAGAACCTACCAAATATTTCTTAAATCATTTGCCTCGAAGAAAGACTTGAACAAATCGAGACCATATAGTATAATTGGTCCCATTGAGTTTAACAGAGGTCATGAGACCATTAATAAGAGTCGGAGGGGACAAAGATGGAGTAAGGGACTTGGTATCTTGCTTGGGTTCCATAACAATGCATCAAATAGCAAACAATAAGTGTTGTGCTTCTGGACCAGAAGAAAAGGGGCTGCTGGAAGATTGAACCGGACTGGAAAAGGTAGCTGGGCCACTGAACCGGTCATGTTGAGCCCTCTGGACCACTGAACCGAGGGAGGAAAGCTAGCTGGACTGTTGAATCGGACACGCTGAGACCTCTGGACCACTGAACCAGACCGGTCTAACTTGCTGGATTACTGAACCGAACCGGTTTGATTCGTTGGATCACTAAACCAGACCGGTTTGACTTCCTGGACCTCCGAACCGAAGTAAAAATTGTCTGAACCGGTCTGAATCAGTGTGAACCACAAAAACTAGGCTGAACCGAGACCAAACCGATTTAGGTTGAGCCGGGTCTGGACTTCATCTTCTTCGTTGGTTAGGGTTTCAGAGGACCCTCTGCTTCGACTGCACCTCACCACCCAACGAACAACACACCACAACAATGACAAATGACTCCACAACGGAACCACAACACCATAACAAGCGACACAGCAGAACCACAACACAGACGACAACGAACGATTGCGCAACGAGCGACAGCCAATTGTAGAACGAGCGACAGTACCACCACAACAGTATCACCACCACCACGATGCTTCGACAACATAGTACCATCACCATGAACAAAAAATTAATTTATTCAGAATATATTTATGATCGTAATGCTCTGATACCATGTTAAGTGTAGAAGATTAACAATATTAAGGAGAAAAGAGAGGTTAAAACTTAATCTAACTCTCATACATTGCTTGTATTTATAGTTAACTCACAATAATAAAAATTACACATACACCCTCTTGTANAGCCTAAAATTTAACCTAACTCTCATACATCATTTGTATTTATAGTTAACTTACAATAATAAAAATTATACATACACCCTCTTATATTTACACATAACACCCTAACACTATTAACAAACTACACAAACTACCCTAATACTCTTAACAATAATTACAGCCTCCATAGTATATCTACTAGGCATAAACTCAAACTGATTTTCTGAAATTGTAGTCTCAAGTCTTAGGCGACGTTCAATGACCTTTTCTCATAGCTTCATTGTATGACTCGTCAATTTTTTCTATCTATAATTATTACAATTTTAAAAATCTCCTTTATTTTTATAGATAAGTACTAAAATACTCTTTCTCCATTCATCAGGCATTTTCCTAATAACAATAATTCTATTAAATAATATCATTAGCCACGACACCCCATCATTCCCTAAACTCTTTGAAACCTCAATTGGAATCTCATCTGGTCCTAATGCCTTGCTTAATTTCATTTTCTTCAATGCAATATCTACCTCCGAATCCTTTATTCTACGAAAGAATGTGTGCACTCTAGCTTCATAAATTCTACCATTTTCTATCTTTTCTAAGTTTCCTAAGTGATTTTCATTTAATAGTTTCTCAAAATAGTCTTTCCACCGATCATTTACTTCCTCATCCTTAACTAAAACATTTGAATCATCACCCTTAACGCACTTAATTTGGTTAAAGTCTCTTGTTTTCCTTTCTCTAATTTTAGCTAGTTTATAGATGTCTTTTCTCCCTCTTTACTATCTAGTTTTTTATACTACTCGTCGTAGACTTTTAACTTAGCGTCTCTAACTATCTTTTTAACCTTTTTGTTAGCTAATTNTCTTTTCTCCCTCTTTACTATCTAGTTTTTTATACTACTCGTCGTAGACTTTTAACTTAGCGTCTCTAACTATCTTTTTAACCTTTTTGTTAGCTAATTTATGTCGTTGGAAGTTCTTGTTATTTCTATCATTTTGTCATCTCTTAAATGATTCTTTCGTTACTTTAACTACATTTTGTATGTCATCATTCCACCACCAAGTTTTTTTCCTACAAGCCGCCCTCTATCTTTTGACTTACCAAGAACCTCTTTTGAATNTTTATGTCGTTGGAAGTTCTTGTTATTTCTATCATTTTGTCATCTCTTAAATGATTCATTCGTTACTTTAACTACATTTTGTATGTCATCATTCCACCACCAAGTTTTTTTCCTACAAGCCCTCTATCTTTTGACTTACCAAGAACCTCTTTTGAATTTTTTCTAATACATTCCGTCATCCAACTCCACATAACGTTAGTCTCATCCTCCACGTTCCATTCGCCTCCTTAAGCATTCTACTCCCAAATAGTACTAGTTTCTCATCTTTTAGATTCTACCATCTCATTCTTGTTTTTCTAATGCTTCTCCTTACTCTGTGTTGCCCTTTAATATATAAATTTAGGATTGTTAGCCTAAGTTGAGATGTTAATCTAGATTATATTCNGTTAGTCTCATCCTCCACGTTCCATTCGCCTCCTTAAGCATTCTACTCCCAAATAGTCCTAGTTTCTCATCTTTTAGATTCCACCATCTCATTCTTGTTTTTCTAATGCTTCTCCTTACTCTGTGTTGCCCTTTAATATATAAATCTAGGATTGTTAGCCTAAGTTGAGATGTTAATCTAGATTATTTTCTNCTCATTCTTGTTTTTCTAATGCTTCTCCTTACTCTGTGTTGCCCTTTAATATATAAATTTAGGATTGTTAGCCTAAGTTGAGATGTTAATCTAGATTATATTCTTTTTTTTTAATGTTTCTCCTTACTTTATGCATATAAAATACATTTCATATGAGAAGTAAGCCTTGATGCATTGGTAAGGTTGTTCCATTAGGAGTGGTTGTCATAAATTTGAGTCACGAAAATGGTCATTCTACATAGGAATTCAAACGTTTAAGATATAATTGTAGCACCCTGCTCAAAAAAACTTAAAGAATCCTACATTGGCAAACACTTGTCAATATCCGACTTTAATTTGATCAAGAATGTGTCAAATGCTTATACACTATAACAACGCCTCTACGAGAGCGATTTTCATTTTTCCTNCACAACAATGACAAACAACTCCACAACAGAACCACAACACCACAACAAGCACCATAGTAGAACCACAACACAAGCCACAACGAATGACTGGGCAACGAGCGACAGTCGACTACACAACGAGTGACAGCACCACCGTATCACCAACTAGTACCACCACTACAGTATCACCACCACCACGATGCCTCTACAACACAATTGCTTCGACAACACAGTACCATCAATTGCTTCGACAACACAGTACCATCACCATGAACAAAAAATTAATTTATTCAGAATATATTTATGATTGTAATGCTCTGATATNCTATAACAGTCAAGGAATAAGAAATTCATGACAGTTTTGGTCTAGCATTTTTCTAGAGAACATCAAATAGCAGTATCCAAAGGCACTTTAAAATGCAGAAACTTCAATTGACCTTCTGGGTTTGTCCATATAGTAAACCACCATCACACACACATACACGCACAAGGGCAGAACGGCATTATAAGGAGGGGGCAACCCCACTAACATTTGGCTGACCCTCAATTTACCCTTATATATGTAGTATTACAAATCATAATTATGTCATATTCATTACGTTGCCCCCCTTAGGTTTTAGAAATTTGTAAAGTGGTCCCAGCAATATTTTTTCCCCGTTAGTTAGTCATTCACTCAACTGCCTATATTTTGTTTTTGTACTAGGGAAAACAGATACAGATGTCTTAACCATTATATATTAACCAAAGACAATACCTTCATTATTTAATACACCGACACTTATTTTCGAAAAACAATCATATAGTTGTCTTCACTCGTTTTTTAGTGAGTTATAAAACATACTTGCAAAAGAATCAAGTTATCAACCAAGGATGATTTGTTGTCGAAAAAAAAAAAAAA